CTTAGTGATCTTCTTTAAAATATATGCTTGCTTTTTGTACATGGAGGAAAGGAGGGGATGGGAAAAAAAGAGCTATCATGTACAGGTGTAAATTCCCTATGATGAGTGTTGATTATGTATGTCTAACATGTACCAATAAATGTTTTGCTGTTAAAAATATATATGCTTACAAATAAAACAAATAACCTACCAATAATACATGCTTGACCTTTTTATTTGCAGGAGGGCAGGACATGGAGAGTTGTAGGGATTGTGGTAAGAAAACGGAGGTGGCAGCTGGAATCTGATTGGAAGGGAAGTTATTTGAGCACTAGCATTGCAAATGCATTTAGAAAAGAAAATCTGCAAATATAGCGCACTTGCTGCTCTTTGGCCCTGGTAGTTCTGTACAAGGCCTTACGGTCGCTATGACTAGACAAGGAAGCCAAGCTGGTAGAACTTTGCTATGTCCCTTACCATACTCAGTCACTCTGCTTGCTTACCAGTTGGGCTTCTAATTGGAATTTATTTGAAGAATATATTCTGCAAATTTAAGGGAAAATTTAAAACTATTCATTTAAAACATGATATAATGAAAATACTGATAATGCTGATAGATCATTTGTATGCTGATAATTAAAAGTTAATATTAAAAAAGCTGAGATTTGTTTCTTTTGAATGATTTTGGTTTTTTGAGACAGGGTCTCACTATGTAATTGAGACTGACCTGGAACTCACTATGTAGCCCAGGCTGGTCTTGAACTCACAGTGATCTTCCTGCCTCAGCCTCCCCAATGCTGGGATTACAGGCATGTGCCACCACTCCCGGCTTCTTTTGGATGATTTTGTTTTTATCAGATACTACGTATTAAATTGGAAAATATGAAAATGTGTATGAAAAACTTGTTTTGGAGAGGAAATTTAATCATCTCTAAAGCTTTTGAGTTTATTGTACTTGTTCTTTCTATATCTAATATTCATAAGACCTCCTTTTTGTTACAATTATTTGGTTTTTTTTTTAGTTTTTTTTAGGTCTTGAACACAGTGATCTTCCTGCCTCAGCCTCCCCAATGCTGGGATTACAGGCATGTGCCACCACTCCCGGCTTCTTTTGGATGATTTTGTTTTTATCAGATACTACGTATTAAATTGGAAAATATGAAAATGTGTATGAAAAACTTGTTTTGGAGAGGAAATTTAATCATCTCTAAAGCTTTTGAGTTTATTGTACTTGTTCTTTCTATATCTAATATTCATAAGACCTCCTTTTTGTTACAATTATTTGGTTTTTTTTTTAGTTTTTTTTTTTTTACTTTTTGGTATGGGGATTGAACTCAGGACCTTGCACTTGCAAGACAGGCACTGGAACCACTGATCTAAATCCCTGGCCCTGTACTATTTTTATAATTGTAGCTGTGATTAGGATCTTTTGTTGTTGTTTACCAAGAAAGAAGGGAAAAAGCCAAATGATTTTTAAAGATTCATACACTAGTTGGGAGAGGATGGAGGAATTAAATATTTTTTGAGGTTTTTTCATTTTTGAAAATATGCTTGTATACCTGGTAAGGGGTTAAGTGGCAGGAGGAGGTCCTAGATTAGTTCTTTTCTATCATTTCTCTGCCCTTTGTCTAAGATCAAGTGTAGTTCTTTTCAGATGACCACAAGGCTTGAGATAGCCCAGAATACTATTTCAGAACAAGTCTACCTCAGAGGGGGATAGGTGTATCTGCCCTTTAGGTGTCCGTATTTCATTTCATCTTGCTCAGAGTCTCTCTTTCTCTTAGGCTAAATGGTCTTCTCTGATGGTGACTGCTTTGCTTTGGATATTAGGTACTGTTTTCCTCTCTGCAGCAGCTACTTTATTGGTAGTTTTTCAGCTTGCCTTTAATCATTATTGCCTTTTAAGCTCTTTACCTTATAATGCTTCATCTTTAATTTCCATTGCAAAAAATGTGTATATGAAAACATGAGGATTGTTAAATAGTACAGAGAGTGTTTTTGGTAGGTAACAGTAGTTGGTTCTAGGAAGGAGGCTTATGTTTGGAATGAGTTGTGTGTGTGGGCAGATCAGGGTTCAATTTTGGACACTGTATTTGATTCAGATATTAATAACCACTAAACTTACATAAACAATAATTGCAATATAATTTAGTCTGAAATATTATTTTAATTAATCCTAATGTTCAATATTTCAAAGTCTAACACATTCACTTTTCTCTTATACCATCCAGGTCACTGCCATACCCCTTTGTACTTTACTCCATACTTGGACACCATACCTTTCTCATTGTGTTCTCTGCTTGTGAGATTTCTAATAGTTTTGTTTTTGTTTTTTTTGGTACTGGGGATCAAACTGGGGACCTCGTGCTTGCAAGGCAGGTGGCAGAACCACTGAGCTAAATCCCCAATCCTTTCATAGTTTTTTTAATCTTTTGTGTGTGTGTGTGAGGGGCTTTTACTATATTGCTAACAGTGTCTGTGATCTGTATGTTGCTTTGAATTTACTTGCTTCATGAAGATACTTTGTATTACCTATTAGAGTGTAGACTGGTTGTTTTCTAAGCACTGAAATATTGGGCACCTGGAAATGTCTAATGGTTTATTAGCTTTCTGTCACTGGGACTAAATCCTGACATATAAAATTTAAAGGAAGAAAGGTTTCTTTTGGCTTCTAGTTTTAGAGGTTTCAGTCTGCTGTTGGCTGGCTCCAAGTCAGAAACAGAATGGTGGAGAAAAGCTGCCCATCTCATGGGTGCCAGGAAGCAGAAAGTAGAGGATAAATATACCAGGGACAGCATGTACCCTTCAGAGGGTAACTGCCTTCCTTCAGTTGGGCTCCACTTCCTGTAAGTCCATTCAGCCGTGAACTCATCAGTGGGTCAGTCTGCTTATGAGATTAGTCCTCTCACAGTGCAGTTACCTTTCTGGGTCCCACAGTATTAAGTGCTGGGGAGCACTTAGTATTTAGACTATAACATATGGCCTCTTGTGACAGTGGAATATGTGTCTGCCTCTGGTTTTATTAGAGAAAATTATTCTAACACTTAATAAAAGGATGAGGAAGATTTTATTTAAGAATATGGAAATAAGTGTCAAGACTATCACAGTAGAGAAGAGAGGTTGGGCCCAACTGACACACAAGGACAAGGATTTGTGAATAGAGGTAAGAGGGTGGTGAGTGGATGAAAAATTACTAAAAGGAGAACAGTGTAACAGGATTCTTGCTGAAGGCAGGCCAGGGAAATCAGATACCAGGGGTGGGAGATGAGGATTCTGACCAACTATCAGGGTGATCAGATGCCATGTGTTGGGGGATCTTCATCAAGGTGACTTAGCAGGCAGGATTCAAACAGCGGGGTTAGGTAGGCTGAAGGCAGGACAGCCGAAGTTAAGGAAGAGAGGGCTCAAAGAGAGGACATTGTGTTTTTCCTTGTATGTTCCTATTTCTTTCCCCCAAAGAAGTATTACACAGGAGGCATACCTTGAATCCTTATGTCTTCATGCTGTGAAACAAATAACAATAAACTTAGTGACTTTAAACAACACAAATTTATTCTTCTGTAGTTCAGGAAGTCAGATAGGCCAAAGCCAAGGTATTGACAAGGCTGGTTCCTTCCAGAGCTGCAAGGGAAGAACATGTTTTCTTGGCTTTTTCATAGGTTTTGAGGATTAGGATGTGGACATTTTTTTTCCCTTAGAGGGGAGGATCATTATTTAGCTGACTATACTTTTTAATAGCTAAAAGTATTTTTATTTTTCCTCATATATGTTCATATTTTTTTTCTCAGAACTTTGCAAACTGTGCTTTGCAGTATTCTAACAAGTAAGTTTAATGCCAGTTTGGATTCTCATTTCTTGGATATGACTTGAAATTTTTTCCTTTCTCTGTGCTTCTGTGATCTTTTGCTTTTTGTTAAATATTACAAGTGGCTTAAACTGAGCATAAATTTAATTTATTAATTACAGTTGAGTGTAATTAATGTTCACAGGCATGCTTCAAACAAAACTATTACTTTTGCAAAATTACTTCTACATTTGTAGATCCCTGCCCATTTAAGGACTACAGTAACTGGAAGAAGGAAAGAAAAAAAAAAAAAAAGAACAGGGGCTGGGGATTTAGCTCAACGGTTTGGTGGCCTGCCTTGCAAGCGCAAGGACCGGAGTTCAATCCCTGCCCCCCCCAAAAAAGAACAAAATTAAACAGTGCCATCCTATAGTACTGATATATATTGTTTCATGAAATATTTGTTTTCCTTTTTTATTTCTTAAATTTTGGTATGGGGGATTGAACCCAGAGCCTTGTGCTTGCCAGACAGGCAGTGTGCTGCTGAGTTACATCTCTGGCCCTATGGGTTTGCTTTTCGGTGTGTGGTATGTTAAAAATGTTCAGAACCCACTACTGTAGTTTGTTTACTTACTGTCTGAGTCGGTGACTGAAATTTTTACATTCAAAATTATCATTAGCTGGGGACTCTGGCGCATACCTGTAATCTCAGCATTGAGGGGGCGGAAGCAGGACGATGTCAAGTTCAAGTCCCACCCGGGCAATTTAGTGAGACCCTGTCTCAAAAAAGAAAAAAAAGCTGGGATATAGCTCAGCAGTAGAGTACCCCTGGATTCAGTCCATACCATTAAAAATTTTATCATTAGAATTGTGGTAAGATATAAAATATATTTGAGAACATTCCTGCTTACCTTTAACAGATGAAATAAAGTTTTCTTTGTTTCCAAGTTTATTAAAAGTACTAAGGATGTGGCTAATTTTGAAGCACTACATTAGGGCATATTATGAAGCTGTCTGGTTAAAGCCCCTGTTTGTTATTAAATGGAATGCAGGGTGTGGGCTGGTGTGGCTCATAGTTGAGATTTACCCCGAAAGACATGTTTTCACCCTCAACAAATATCATCTTTGTTCTGATATCTGCAGTGCATATAACCACAGCAAGGTCCTTTTTCACCCTTGGAAAAAAAAAAGACAGAATACATCTCAGACTTAAGATTTCTTGTACTTGTTCACAAAGAATTTAAAGAGGAGTTAGCTGCCTTACACTTTTTTGGTTATAATTAGTTGGAGAATATGTGAGGTACCACCTAAGAGTCTTGGTGTGCTCAAGAATCACAACGTAATAATGAAATCTTGGAATACATAGGTTACTCTATGAGGACTGACACAACTCTCAGTTCCAAAGTCTGGACTGATTATCCAGCAAAAGGTAAAGTACTTTTAAAACTTGATATTATTTTATATATTTAACACTTTATCTGTCAAAATCTGTACTAGGAAAAATGATCTGTCCATTCTATTTTGTTGGATTGAATTCGATATTTAGTAACTTTGTATTTACTTGGGGTTAATTTAGCAGCATTAAAAAAGCTTTACATAAAAAGTTATTATTTTCTTCCATAAATTTGTGTCCAAACGTATTTTTCTGTATACTTGAGCATTAAACTAACATCTTTGTGATGTAAGAAGGCTGATATTTAGAGCAGTTGTACCACATTTCTTCCAGATGGTTTTATTTTTAAGGATAGGAACTTTTTCTTCGGCTACAATTATGTAACAACCACATTGAGTTATACTTTAATTACCATAATATTTTGGCAATGTATAGTATTGTACTTTAAACCACATTTTTACAGATATACTTTTAAATTACAGATTTATCACAAGAGTATAAAGATACAATGTGAATTTATTCCATAAAGCTCTCATTAAATTTTAATTTGATAGAAATTTGTGACATTTGACGAAAGTATCCAACAACACAGCTGTCATTGCTTAGTAGGTGCCTAGAACTTTGTGCATACTTGCAGACACAAGATAGCTGCTGGTGTCAGTGTTTTAGGGTAAAATCTTTGTTCTTTCAGTGAAGTTTCTAAATAAGCAATTAGAATGCATTCAGAGGAACTATGAGTAGTACAGTTAATACGTTTCTCAGCTACAGATCAGACAGTAAGAACCCTGCATAAAGTTACTACTTTGTCCTCTACAGATGATTACCTTACAGTGTGGATTAATAAATTTCACTTGGGTGCTGGGATGTAGCTTAGCAGCACTGTGCCTGCCAAGCACCAGGTCCTGCGTTTGATGCCTGGTACTGGAAAAAAAAAATCATATTGGGAAAGATTGGCATTTCTGTTTCATCTCTCTTTTTTTTTTTTTGTGGTACCGGGGATCGAACTCGGGTCCTTGCGCTTGCGAGGCAGGCCACCGAATCACTGAGCTAGATCCCTGGCCCTCTGTTTCATCTGTTAAAAGAAGCAAATTTAGATTTATTTCACAAAATTATTTTGGCTTTAAATCCAGTCTCTTTTTAGAATACATTCATTAATATAAAATTTTCTTATCATGGAGAAATACAGGGATAAAAAATTTCTAAGTAAATTTGGGGATTGAGTGTTGTTATTGATTAGAATCAGCTGTTCTACTGAGGTTAATATATATGATCTTTTTCTCAGAAATCAGGAAACAATTTTATCTAATTCTAGTAGACTCTCTGTTACATTGGTTAGATTCTTCTTGGAGCTCTAGCCTGACAATGATCTGAGTAAAGCTCTTGCAGTTTGCTCTGGTTTTTTTAGGATGCTCAGCATCTTCAATTCCTAACTCCATGTGGTTTCCAGTTCTTGCTTTTATACTTTTAAACTTCTCATTGTTATGTTTGAAATATGGGTAAGACTCATAGAACTGGTAGGGAGGAATAAAGAATTGGTATTTTAAAAAAAATTCCAAGAAAACACCCATCTGTAGAATTTCACCTAATCACAAAGAAATTTACATTTGACAGCTCTAATAGTAAACGCGGATTTTAATAAGTAGTCATGTTGCCTAGTTTGAATTAAATTTTTATGCATTTGTTTTCCTTTCTTTTCAATAGAAGCATGAGTGTAATGCTTTAAAGCTGAGTAGCCAAAGGGAAAAAAGGAATTGACAAAGGCTCATACGTCTAAAACAGAGTAATGAGAAAACAAATATATGTATATATTTCAGATTTATGTTTGCAGAGTTCATTGTGAAAATCTGAGCAGCTACTTTGTAATTTTGTTATTGACTTATCCATTTTATTTACTTATTATTCACATTTCCACCAAGGACATTTTATACTCTGAGAAAAGCAGTGACATTAGTATTTATTCCCCCTAAACTAAAAAATTCCCTGATTCCCATTTTGCTATTTAGGACAGGGTTGTGCTTTGTAGTTCAGGTTGGCTGGAACTCTCCATAATCCTCCTGCCTCAGCCTCCCTTACAGGTGAAATTACAGACATGCATCACTGTGCCTGGCTTACCTTGTGCTTGTTTGGTTATCTCATTTACATAAACCTCTAGAGGTGGAATTGTTGGGTAAAGGATATGCCTACTTTTTAAAAGATTTCTGATAATATATTATTGTACTTTCCAGGAAGAACTTGTACATTTGTGTGTTTATCCTGAGGGTAAGGAACTCTGAATTTCCCCACGCTGTGATCAATGAGTATTATCAGTACATTTTTTTGGTTAGTCTGAGATAGATGCAAAGTGATATTTTAAAATTTATGTTCCTCAGTTACTAATGAGGTCGATTTTTTCCATGTCTTTTTTTTTTAATTTAGATTTTATTTTTATCAGCGCTATAATTAGTGTAAAGAATCAGTAGGGTATAACAGACTTGTGAACAGTTTACTTTCATACTCTTCCTCGCCCTCCCCCCCTTGGTTTTGTGTTTACTGCAGAGCTAACTAACATACTTATGGTGCCACTTTCTGTCTGTTCAGTTTTAGGTGTTATCATTGGTTTCCTATTTTGGAAGGCGGTTTGATTCTTCACCCTGTACCCACCTCTGTCACGCATATCCCTTCAACTCTTGGGGAATTATGAAACAGAATCCTGTTTATCAGCTCTCTCTTTTTAAAAACTCCACCCTTACCTCTCCTTGAGAGCCACCGTTTCTTGGACCTTTAGGGGCCACGGCTCTCATGAATCCCTAAAGTGTTATTTTAGGAGAGTTTTAGAAGAAATGGATCTAAAAGTAGCTGAAAGTCTTTCTGAAAAGTAGCGATTAAAGCTGTGGGATATGGAGTAAGGATCGAGGATTCAAATCCTACCATTGCTTTTTACTAGCTTTATGACTTCGAACAAGTTGCTTAAAATCTCTAAACTGTATCACTGGTGTGGGATTACTAAGGATACTACTTTAGAGTGTTGTTAAATTAAATGTGATAAGGCATGATATAGTGCTAGGCTCAGTATCTGCTGCCTGGTAGTATCTTAGCATCTGCCAGGCACCTTAGTAAGAACACAAATATAGTTGTTGCTGCTGTTGTTAGTCTTGTGAATTTTTTGCTTGTGATCTTTGCACAGATTTTCATTGGAATGCTATATTTTCCTGATCAGAGATATGATTTATACAATTTATCTTTGGTCTTTTTATTTATAGGGCTTGGGATATATAATCATATCCATACCATTTCATGTTACGGTCTCTGCTTTTGTTGTCAGTTTTGTTTTTGAAAGATACCCCTGTCAAGAAAGAAAGGTTTGTGTGTGCATGTACATGTGCTAAAACTAGAGACATAGAGACCAGCGAGTAGGTTATTATAGTTGTTGAGGCATTGACCAAAGGACCTGAAAGCCAAATGGGCAGTATTTTCACCATGTAATAAAAAAATGTTTGTAGCTTTTGATGTGTATCTTATACTAGTTTAAAAAATATGTATATGTATATATTTATTTATTATACCAGGGATTGAACTCGGGTCCTTGAGCTTGCAAGGAGGCAGGTGGTGGAACCACTGAGTTAAATCCCTGGCCCTTTTTGAAAAAAAAAATTCTTAAAAGCCTTTTTCAATGATCTTCTTATCCAACTGGGTATCATCTGAAAACTTCGAGCTTTCTTCTTCAGTTTTTTTTTCCAATTCCTATTTCTATAAGATTTTAGATCCAGCTGGGGATTTAGCTCAGTGGTTCGGTGGCCTGCCTTGCAAGCGAAAGGACCCGAGTTCAATCCCTGGTACCAAAAAAAAAAAAAAAAAAGATTTTAGATCCCAAATTAAGTCTTGAGGGCTGAGATTTATTATGTCCGAGTGTATGCTATGTTAATAAATTTACTTTCTTTTGAATGTGGTATAATTACAGTGTCAGATATGTGGACATTGTAAAGTCGTAGTTTCAGATTTTAAATGCATCTTTTAAAATTTACTGGATTTTGCTGATTTTTCATTTTAGGCAGTATGTTTTTTAAAAAAATTTGTCTTAGTTTGCAGTTACTTTTCATTGTTCTTTGAATAACAGTTCACCTAAATTGATCTTTCCACAGATTCGGACCAGGATGTAGCACTCAAACTTGCCCAAGAACGAGCTGAAATTGTTGCTAAATATGACAGAGTAAGTTATATTAGAAAAACCGTATAAGTAGAAAGGAATTTGTATTTTGGAGAGCTGAAATTACAGAAGCACTTTGTTTACTTCATGGGAACATCAGGCTCTTCTGTTTTCCTCCGAATTCTCTCCTTTTTGCCACTCTAGCCTCTTTCTCTTCAACCCCCGGGTTTGCTCCTTCTCCAGGACCTTTGCCCTGGCTGTTTGCTCTGCTCTGTATTCTGTGTATCCTGATGCCTCATTGCCTGGCCCCATCAGACCTTTACTTAGACACTACCTTCTTAATGAGCTGTCGTCTGACCTCCGTTTGGTTACTCACCTTTCTACACCCTGGCACTCTGTATCCCTTTTATTTTTCACCATAACACTTACTAATTTACTTTGTGTGTGTGTGTGTGGAGGCGGGGTCTGCTGTCTTAGATGTAACTCTGTCATGACAGGGGTTTCTTTTGTTTGGTTTACTTTTGTATCCTAAATACCTAGAACAGTTTCTGACTTATACTAGGTATTTGTTAAGCACTTGAGTAAGTATGGAGAATAAAGTTTGCATGATATGCATATTTTATATGTGCTGTTAAAAGTTTACTACAGATCTTAGATACTGTATTAATGCATTTATGTGTAATTCCCATTAGCATTTTATCCTCATATTAGTATGGAATCTCTTTCTTCATGTCCTAGAAAATAACAATTGTTGGTGATTTATATGTCTCCTTATGTATGTATGACCTTACCTTCTGAGATTTATAATGAGTCATAGCAGGTATTTATAAATATCATGTTTTATATTTGCATCACTTGTTTATAATAATATATTTTTATTATTGGTTATTTGAGATAGCAGGTATGTGAAATTACAAGAAGTTGCCTGGTCTGTGCGCTCCTTCCAGGGAGTCATGCAGAGTTTATTTTTAAATTGGTTGTTGGAAACATCAGATATTGTTACTGTTTTTAAGTTTTACTGTGGTCCATGAAAAGCCTAGCTGGTTTATTTCATTGCTTAATAGAAAACCGATAGAACTATCTATCATTCGTTCATGCTTGCACGTGCACCCCCCCACGCAGTTAGCATGGGCCGGGACCTGGGCATTCTTTTGTTTTATGATGCATAAATGAGTTCAGCACTTCTTGCTCACAGGGTGCTCAGCATCTACTCAGAGAACACATGGGCAGACGTTATAAAATACACTGAGATGGAGGCCTCTGCTAGACAGGTGTTTGAGTCTAAAATTTGAAGGATTGGTGCACTTTCAATTTAGTCTCCTACACTTACCAGTATAAGTTAACAGCCTAAGAACATGTGATAACCTAGCAGAGAAATGGGCTGAGGACAGTATTCTGAGCATATCAGCGAAGAATTACCGAGACAGAGTCACAAACTAGTCAGAGAGACATGAGGAGACCTGCAAGAGGCAGTGTCATGGAAGTAGAAGAGGGAATGAGCAACACTGCCAAGTATGCCTCATGGTTTCTCTGTGTGAGGGCTGTAGAGTGACACAGGATATGACAATGGGCGGCCAGTTTTTATTGGAAAGAGTTGTTTCAGGGCAAATATAGCTGTGCAAAGCGGTAGAGGTATATAGTCTATTCCTCTGAGAAATTAGAATGAAAGGCAAGAAACATTTTATCCTCTAAGAAATATTCACTTTGGAAATTTAAAGTTTGGCAGTTCCTTCTTGAGCTGCTTAGCGTGGTTCTTCTCCTTCTCAAAAGCTTCTCTCAGGTGCCCTGGTCTTATCAAGGCTGAGCTAAATGTCAGCTGTTACTGACATAAAGTATCTTATGTCATTTGTAATTATGAATAGTGATTGTATTTCCTAAACTAGTTATATTTTTTAAAAAGTTCTTGAGTTTTGGTCTTTTGATTTAAAAGATCACTCAATTTTATAAACTCCAAGTAACACCTTTTTCTTTGTCCATGATTTTAGGGACGAGAAGGTGCAGAGATTGAACCTTGGGAAGATGCTGATTATCTTGTTTACAAAGTCACGGATAGATTTGGCTTTTTGCAGTAAGTTGCATCGATTGAAAGCTAACAATTTTTTATTACGATGTTTATGGGTTTACCTGTTATATTTACTTTCTTTATTTTTAATAAAGATTCTGTGAATAAAATTCCAGGAATGTACATAGGTACTAGATTCCTAGCATTCTTAACCTTTATAATTACAATTGAACTATGGTCAATACAATCTCTAATATGTTTTGTTTTGCTAAGAACATTAAGTGCAATAAATGAGTTGTATTAATGTAGCATAATTAAATGCACATGCATAATAATTTGTACTTTAAAAATAATTATAAAATATTTAATTTTTAGATGTGCATTTAAAATATAATTAGCAATTCAATCCTTAGTGTTATGCAGTCTAAAAATGAGCATTGTAAAGAAATGCCATTGATCTTTCTTATAGCTGTAAATGTAGTCATGATATTGCCTCTCAAAATTAGTTCCATTTATCCAGTGTATGTTATATGAAAAGTTGTGAGAAGGATGCACCACTAGAAAATGAAGCAGTTAGTGATTTTGAGTGTTAAAAATACCCCTGTAAAATGAGGTGAACCCACTTATCCTTGGTTCTGGCATTGTTCAGTCAGATTCCTGTGGGCCAGAGACTTCTATTCATCTCAGTTCTTTATTTGTTTCCATACAATTCAAGATTAACTGAATTTTTATTCAAATTTATTCTTTGCAAGATTTGTTTATTATAAGTATTAAAAAGCTAGGAATTTAAATTTTATAGCAGTTAAATTTTAAGAAAAACATTTGTTTTATAGTTCATAGCAAGAATTTGTAATTCTCAGACCTTATATTCTCCAATTTAGCTTTTTTTGTGTGTTTAGAATATATTTTGTTGCATAGTTTCTGAGGGTAAACTAAGCAAGCAAACAAATAGTTCTAGGAGATAGAAGGTGTGTGCCCTTCTTGTGGTTTTTTGCTGGTCTCTAGTCAACTGACTAGAGACAATATTTCATGCTTCATTTGAAAGTAAGAGTTAGTAACTGCTTCACGTAACTTGAAGAGTATGGAGGGTTTGAGGAAATAAATGTAAGGATATTTTATAAAGTTGTGGACAAATAGATATTATACTAAATGACATTAGTGTGTCTGAAACTTTTCTTTGACTAGCAATATCGAGAAAACTGAACTTCATTGAACTAACAGTATTTAATTATAATATAAATACTATTAAAATTAAATTCCTACCTTTAGAAAAAAAGTGAGCTTTGGCGCCAAATGATTGCACATTTGTGTGGGTTAATGTGTAGAACTGGGATGTAAGTGAAGTTTTGAAGGATAGTTTGTGCATTAAGAGTGTTAAAGTCAGTAGATTCCCAATTTTTCTTTATATTAGAGTCAGCTGGTGAATTAAAAATATTTCTGGGTGCTAGGCTAAATTTTAATTCAGAAGATACAGCCTTGTTTATTTTGACTTTTCCAGGGATTTCTGGTGAGATTGAAACACTGGAATGTTTTTAATCATAAAATAGTCCAGTAGAGTATTCAGTACATATGAAAACTTGTAGTCTGAAAAGGTCTGTTAATTACCTACTTTTTTTCTTTTTGCTTGAAATAGTATGAGATGAGCTTTTGAAATAAGAGCTTCTTACCCAAGATCCTACCTGTATTTGACAATCCAAAAGTTGCAGTCAGTTATTTGGTATTTATTTTTTATTCTTTGTGGTAAGTTCCATTTGGCCCTAGTGTGAAAAAGTCAGTCATTACCTTACCTTCATCATGTTAGGTATAATGTCCATTGAACACTTACTGTGTGCCAGACATTTCTAAGCCCTTTGTAGGGATAAACTCATTTATCCCTATTAAAGACTATGGAGTAGGCCCTTTTTAAAACCTCCTTTGTTGTAGATGATGAAACTGAAGCACAAAGAGCTCAAAGAAGTTGCCCAAATCATGCTGACAGTGAGTGTCAGTTCTGGGGAATGGACTGTGACAGTCTCACTGCAGGGCTCTCACTGCTGTAGTCCTGTTACTGCCTCTAGTATGTAAATAGCAGAAATACAGGATAAGTGATTGGAAATGTCTAGACAGAAAATGAGAAGGGGTATGGGAAGAGTGTCCGACGTGGATGCTTCTATTGCAATATATTGATAACTTCTGTTGCAGTTTATTCTATTTGATGGTCACTTAGTGAGATGATCATTTCCATTACAATATATTCCAAGATGGATAAGCTTACTGTTGTGCAATTGAAGCAGATTTCTTACACCGTTCACACTCATTTTTTGTTTACTTCGTGATACAGTCGTAAAGCAGACAGCACAAATGAAAATAATGAACCATAGAAATAGATTTTAATGTAATATTATACTTTATTAAATTTCACCAAACCCTTTTTTGTTGTTGGTACAGTGCATAGTAGTAGTAAAACATGTTCTCTAAAGATCACTGGTAGTGCCTTTTATTGCAGGTCACTGTAGACTGGTGTTATTTGTACTATTGCATACAGTCACTTAACATAGGCGTTTAGATGTACTCCCTGTCACACCTTGATCAAAAGAGCATTTCTGTCTGTTCTCTTAGTTTTTAAATTTTTGACTGGTTCTGTATTGAAATTGGGTTTTTAGTTCAATGTCAGTACATTAAAATGGCAAAAAAGTAACACTGTAATCTTCTCTGAAGGCTTCTGAATTCACATCTCATTAGAATTTAGAGACTCAAATTACTTGTTAATGATACATGCAAGAGGGACAGTTATCATTTTTTTAAAGAGGAACAGTTACTAACAAGTGCAGAATAGTACCAACTTGGTTTTATAGTAAATTTCGCAATAATTGTTATTATTTTTTATTGAGTTTCTTGGTACATTTTAGGTATACAGTACAGTTACATTCATTATTGGGATCTTGTACCTTTACATGACAGGTCTTGGTTCTCATTTTTCCCCTTGTCCCTGCCCTTCCTTCACCCCCCTTCTCCCCTCCCCATTTACAAACACTTTATTTCCATTTTTTCATTTTCTCATATTTTTTTTATTTTCCCTTATTACCTTTCTCCTACCCTTCCCACTTTCCCTACAGATTTCACAATAATTATTAAAGCTGTTGCCAAACCAGCCTGTCTTGATGTTGGAATAGCAACATCTTTGTTTCGTTCTCAGTGGTAGGGTGTTATCCCCAGATCTTGTGTCTGTGGTGTGGTTACAGCTGGACAATAGCGAAATCAAGCTTGCTTAAGAAATTGGAGAACTTTAAACATTTTAATCAAAAATAGCTGTTGCTAGTCTGCTGAGCAAGAATGCTTGATATTTGGATAATGTTAAATAGTGCTTTTAGGTTATGAGTTATTAATAGCAGAATTGAAAGGAAATGGTACCAAAAATAGAGAAGATAAAATTATTATCAAGGGTTAGATGTTCAGCTGCTTCTCAGAGTTTGTATATTTATAAAATTTAGCAGACTGTCTCAGTTTACCATGACTATAAATATATATGAGAGCCAAAATAAAGGTATTTCTGTCTTTAGAGATTCTCTCTTTTTATCATAAGGCCTTGAGAACTCTTTCTGCTAATTCTATAAATTTTGGGTAGGTCTTATCTAAACTTAGGTAAAAATTACTTTGAAAACAAAAATGAAATTTAATCAGTATATTCAACACACTGATTTTAATAAATTAAGATTTAAGTTTCCAAATGAAAGTTGATCTCATACTTACAGAAATATTCTACCTGAGCTGTTGAGAATAGAGTCATATATACTCTAGTAATACTTTTAAAGTTTAACAGTAGATAAAAAGTATATCCAGCCAGTCTCTTTCCCTGGATGACTCTGTTGTTTTACTTACTATATTTCTATAGGATATAATTGTTTGCCAGCTTAGTGTTTTCTTCATTCAGCCTTTAAGTGCCTATAAGCCTTTGTTCTCTAAAGCAGGGGTTAGCAAACACTTCATGTAAAGAGCTAGATACTAAATCTATTTGGTTTGTGGGCCACATGATCTTTATCACAACTGTATCACTCTGCTGCTGGAGCACAAAGACCATGGACAGGTCCTAATGGGATGGCGTTGTTCCATTATACCTTTATCCACAAAATAGGTAGTGAGCCAAATTTGATGCATGGACCATAATTTACTTACCTAAAGAAATACTCCATATTCACTCATACTGTAGTCCTTCGTCTCCTCTGCTTACAGAATGTGTAGCTGGGTGTGGTGGCACATGCCTGTAATCCCAGCACTAGGGAGGCTGAGGCAGGAGGATCTCTGTGAGTTCGAGACCAGGCTGGGCTACATAGTGAGTTCTAGGTCAGTCACAACTATATAGTGAGACCCTGTCACAAAAAAGCAAAAAAAAAAAAAAAAAAAAAAAGTGTAGGAGGCAAAGATACATCCGTGCAGTTTGCAGATATATATTTGACATTCCATCTGTACTTCATTTACTGAGCTTTTTCAGTGTGCCAGTGTGTATTCTGGAAATCTCATGGAGCCCTTGATAAGATGGCATTCTTCTGTATTCTCCTTGGAAGGCTGATAACATTAACTTTGCTAACACAGACTTAAAGAGGAAAAGTTTTATGAAGATCTGTGTGTGCCCACCACAGATTTTGTTTGAAAATTTTGGGAAAAGAGAAAATGAAAAAATGGAAAAAAAAAGTGTTTGTAAATGGGGAGGGGAGGATGGGGTGAAGGGAGAGCAGGGACAAGGGGGAAAAAATGAGAACTAAGACCTGTCATGTAAGTACAGGATCCCAATATTGAATGTAACTGTACTGTACACCTAAAATGTACCAATAAACTCAATTTAAAAAAAAAAGAAATAATGAAGAAAAATCTGTGTAGGAAAACTGGACCACATTCTTGTTATACTGTCCTCCTCCTGTGAGGTTCACAGTATTTTTTTAAATTTTATCCTCAAAGTTTCTTTTGCTTTTGAGAATTGGTTTCACAACCTCTTTTCCTTTACTTGATATGCTCTGGCTCTAGCTGAATATCCTAGTTTGTATCCACTGGGTTAGATAGTATTGAAACTTAGATATTGGGTTAAGTGAAAGTGTTACTTTTCTTATCTATGAAATGATGGATTTAGACTGTGTTAAGATCTCTTTTGGTGATTACACTTTTTTTGTTAGTTCCATTGCTATGGCTCAGTGGTTCATCTAAGGACTTTTCCAAGTAGGAAAAAATACCATTGAAAATGCCGAACTCTTGAGTGCTAATGTGCCATGCTCTTCAAAGTGGCACTGGTTGGTTGGAAAAAGCTAAAGCAAGAATATGTAGATATTGGTGACAAAACATCAGTACTACTGAGGAAACTACTGACTGAAAGCATTTTACTTTACAGATAGCATGGTTTTTATATTACTGATTGTTACTGAGTGTCTCTAAATACTTTATATTAGATATGATATCATACATGTACCAGAGATGAAGTTGATCTTTTTTGTATATTTTTAAAAAATCATCTGTTGAAAATGTTCTAGTGTTTTCTCTATTGTACAAAATAGAAGCGGATGTTTCTTTTTTAATTCATAAATCCCTTGGAGACTTTTTTTCCCTTTATGCTAATTTTTAAATAGTCATTTATTATAGACCATAGTTGGAGCCAAAAGTGGAGATGATGATCTAGGAAAAAGTTTGGCAGACGAGACAAGGGGGCCAGATTGAGCTCACTGCCCATTTTTGTAAAAGTTTTGTGGGCCCAGTGCCACACTCAGTTTATACATTATATGTGGCTGCTTGTCCACTAGAACATTAGCATCGAGTACTTATGAAAAACACTGTATGGTACATGAAGCCTAAAATATTTACTGTTTAAATATTTGCTATGACAAAAGAAGTTCTGAATCCAGGTCTACAATAGTGTTTTAGAACTTTCTGTAGTGATGGAAATGTTCATTATGACAACCTTTGCCTATATGACTCATGCACTTGAACTATGGCTAGTGATATTGAATAATGCAATATTAAATTTCATTTAATTTCAGCTTACACTGAAATAGCCACGTGTGGCTAATGGCTGAGGTATAGGACAGTGCAGATGTGCAGATTTGAAGATTCAGCATTGTCGCAGAATTGCTGTTGTTTTCTATTAAATTCAGTGGGATGGAAACTTATGTAACTCTTGTGATGACCGGTAAATCTTGCACGTCATGTGTACCTATAGGTATATGTTTTAAAAGTTTGCTTTAGTTTCAACCATTTCACATATATTATTCTCTGCAGTGAGGAGGAGCTCCCATATCATAATGCAGCTATGGAACGGGTAAGTCCAGTTCTTTATTTGTAGTTACTGGTAAATTACCTTTGTTAGAGCAATAAAATTTACTTCCATTGTGCATTGTGAGTGCTATTTTTTTATGCAATATGTAGTCATTTTTAGGATTTGACCCTAGTTATATCACTCTTAAGAAAGTAATTAATGGTAACATCGTTTTAGGAGGATTTATGAGATTCTGATAGATACTTGAAAGCTAGGAATCTTAGCAGTTGCTAGAAAAGATTTGCATTATAGAATGGTGTCACTGATCTTGCTCAGGCCCCACCTCTGTCTGCGAACCAGCCTCCCTGGGGTTAGAACCTGGGCAGCCAATTTTTCAAAAGCATCACAAGTAGTTCTCATGTTCTCTCAGCTAACGTTACCATTCTAGACCAGTAACTGTTCTATGACATTTTAATGAATTTCCCACAAATAAAACAAAAAACATTTTGACTTCTTGTCAAGTGACTGAGCATTTTAAGGAGTTAAGACAAGTGTTACATAGCAAAACTGTCTGTTTTTTTAACTTTTCCTGTACTTGACAAGGAGCTATTTTCACATCTAGGTGTGTGTGCATGAAAAGTGGGGATTGGATATTTTAAGGTTGTTCAGAACTTCCCTCTCCCTATTTTTCTGTCCTCAAAATATATTGTAAAATGAAATGTTTCAGTTTGTATTGTATTCTGTTTGTGTGTGTGTATATATATTGGATGTGGGGGTGGGGGGAGGAGTTGAGTTTCAGACAATGGAGGTGAACTTGGAATTAAAAAAATATTTTAGAAAATCTAAGATGAAGGTCTGAGTCAAGACTAGCAAAACCTTAATGTAGACAAAATTGCCATTTTATGTATATAGAGATGCCTGTGGGTGCTTCCTGTAGTTGAAATATTGCTGTTTCTCCCTCATTATCATAACCTAGATAGATGCTTTGGCGAAAGTATTTCTTTTAATAGCTACCGTAGCAGCTATGTGTTTAGCACTAGATTAGCTCATGCGCTGAATTCTAGGAGGAATAAAGCATGATTTCTGCCTTTGAGTATTCACAATCACTAGAGAAAGGTCAACTGAGGCAATAGGAGATATTTGGTGGCTTTTGGAACATAGAGTTAGTGAAATAAAATGGTACCCTGGAGGTGAGGAGGACAGATGCCGTGTAACTGAGGAGTGCATGAGAAGGAAGTGACAATGACAGTGATCATTTCACTAAGTCTTCCTCTGTGAACTTTTTCCGTCTACTGTAAATGGTAGTGAAAGGATTTGCTCTGGCCTTGTGACTGTCACCTCTTGTCTAGTCCTCAGCTTAACTAATTCTCTGACCCGCTGATGGTACCCATATCTTCATTCTTTCTTTCCCAGCTTTGATTCTATTGTAGCTCTTTGACTTTCTTTTGTACCCTCATCTCATCTGTCAACAAGTATTGTGTGTTCTCCCTTCAAAATCTATGCAGAATTTGATGGCTTTTATCATCTCCTCTTCTGCTACTTTCTAATCTTTCTTCTGAAGCTTCCTGTCTTTCTGTTCCTGCCATTGTCTTTTTTCCCTCACAATCTTTGTTCACCAAGAAAATCAGAATGATCCTGAGAAAATAAGATGTCACTTTCTGATATAAAAAGTCTTATGGTGGCTCCCCATCTCCCCATCTCATACTTGTTTTCCATTTTAGTTTTCTATTTAGACTTTTGCTTATTTCTTTATTTTGTCTAACTTTGCCTCAAGACGTAATCTGTGTGAGGTTTCTCTCTTCTCCTCTTCCTTGTTCTTTCCTGTATCACCAGAACCTAGACCAGCATTGAGCTTGTGGCATATGCTTAGTAAGTGTGGATTGAATGAATAGATGGGTGGAGGTAATGATTTATTTATAATAGTAAATGTATTGACTTAAAGACTGGAAGAGAGAGATTGTCCTTCCAAGTGTCACAGTGTCCTTTATATTGAGAAAATAGGAAGATTTGGAAGGTATTTTTAAAACAAAAGACATTCATATTTGACAGAATAAAAATTTATCAACCCAATATTGACTCCTTCTTTCTGTAATTTCCTGGTCTAGACAGTCCCCATTCTTCAAAGCAGCGATTTAGGTGACTCAAGAAATGTGACAAGAACAAAAGATGAAGTACTATATACATATATGGCAGAGCTAGTAGGGGATGCATGCTTAAAAGAAGCTATTTTTTTACACTTTTATGGACTTTTTAAGAGACTTACATGTACAGTAAGACTTCTTATGTAATGTAGTTAGTCTGATAATTGATCGTTTACTCAGGAGAGTTTACTATAATGAGGAATCACTAAAAAGTGATCTATGTAATTTAAACTATATTTAATCATTTAAATAAAAATATTTTTCAGTCTTTTATTGGGGCAAGGTCAGGATTCTGAGTTCACTGATTGAGGTTCCATAAAGCTTTTCAAATATCAACTGGATTCATTGCATTACCTGTTAACAATTTTGGCTTCTTTAAAGTAGAATGAGAATTTAGTCCCATGCAAAACAGTAGATGTCTGGAAACTTTCAGTTTAGCAAATTTGCCTCTACTGTTTCTGCTTTAAGTTCATGGATTCTCTGGTGACTGCCTTGTCCTAGTGTCCAAGCTCTGACATTTCTAAGAAACTAATTTGTATATATTTTGTAATTGAATGAAATCATAGCCTTGCTGAAGTCTGCAGTCTACAAAACATATGCTTGACGTTTGGGGAGAAGTAAAGTACTGATGTATAATCACGTAATTGGGGCTTTAGTTCTAGCTTCACCTCGGTACTATTTTGCATAAGGCATTTCTCCATTTAACAGAGGGATGGTCATCCCGTCATAAGAGGACTAATATTGGTGTTTACAGAGTACTGTAGGTTCCCCCAGACAGGCTCTTAAGCAAATGAACACACTTATTATATTTACTCTGTAGAGAACAATATTAATAATGGATTATATTGTTTCTCTGAGCTTATTGATGTTTTTAATAAGAAAAGATTACATAAAACTGAATTTTCATAGATTCAGCTATTTTTTCATGTAGTGCAGTATTTTAGGTGATGTATGCAATATTATCATTTCTTTAAATACTATACCTTAATTTTAGGTGGTTTGAAATCTTGCTCAAAATGCATGACAGACCTCACAGGGTCAAGGTGTTCTGTACAAACAGACCCATTCCGCCTGGTACATCTTGTCCTCTCCTGACCTCTGCTGGTGGGAGCTAGGCATGGGTGACTCCTGTCAGTTTTATTTCCATTCATGGATCTCATTGTTGGAGATGAAAAACAAACTGTAAGAGATAGGAAAAACTCAGCTATTTTTTATAGTCTCACACTTTACATAGCCCAGAACACTTCTGATCACCAAGAAGTATTTGGGTTTTCCCCATACACCAGGCAATTCCCCAGTGGATACTGACTGGATGGTGTGCAATTTAACTCAATTATGACACTAACCAGAATTAATACAGATCCAATAGATTAAGGGTGTAGTCTCACAAGAGGTCAGAAAGCAGACTGAAAGCCCCAGGTTGTCACCATGGTTTTGGACTGGCTGTAAATCAGGGTATTCCTGAGCCCCTCCTTAGGTCCAATCATTAGTCAGAGTGGCTCTCAGAACTCAAGTATTTTACTTACTAATACTCATTTATTGTAAAAAAGAAACAATTGAGGAACAGCCAAATGGAAGATGCATATGGCATGAAGGTAGCTCGATGTCCTCTTGGGGTGTGCCGTGCCCCACAAGTCAACACTTCAGGGCTCTCCAAGCCCCATTAGTTTAGAGACTATTATGGAAGCTTTATGATGTAGGCAGTACTGATTATTAACTCAGTCTCCCTTTTCCAGAAGATTAGGATATGGAGCAGGTCCGGGAGCCCAGCAAGAGTTACCTAGTAGAACAGTAGATACTCCTATAATTCCAAGGGGAATCCCAGTGGTTGTAGCCAGAAACTGGAGCAGAGACCAAAACTATATTAATTATATCACAATAGCATCCTAATTTTTTTTTCCCCGGTACCAGGGACCGAACTCGGGTCCTTGGGCTTGTGAGACTGTGGTGGAAGCTCTGAGCTAAATCCCCAGCCCAATATCATCCTAATATTCAAATGGAGAAGCCCATAACAGTATCTGAAGACTTAAATTTGAACAAATTAAAAATTTCTTATTCTAGAGGAGAATGCTGTTTAATAATCCATCCACGTGTTGTCTATGTGTTTAAGTTTTACTATCTGAATTCTTAGTCATGTGACTAGTGACAGGTTTGAGATAAGATAAAAGCTGTGTGGGCAACTCAACAAACAGTTGTTTTAATAGTTACTCTTCATTTGGTCCTGCATAAAGTTCAAACTATTCTCTCAGATTTCTGGAGTAATCTGCAGTAACGAATGATAATGATTTCAGTTTTAATCCTGATGCTCTTGCCTTAATAGGAGAGGTCTCTTGACTTGGAGGCAACATCAGTTTAAAACAGTAGGTTTTTGTGTCATAAATTTGAAGTAGAAAGTTAGTCCTTTTCTGGAAATGGCTTCTGGAGCATGATAGTGTGCTGTTTTCTTAACCAATGAAAGTACTAGAGAGAAGCAAAGGGAATAGTTGTGGAAATTAAGATGACTGTAATATTCTGACATTTTGAGAGAAAGAGAACTCTCTCATGCTAAGGTCTATAAACAGTTCATAACAGTACAGTGAGTACTAATATCCAGAGCTTAGTTTTTAAATAGCACTTCCATTTAAAAGAACCATGGTTTCTTAAAGCAGTGGCTGATTCCAGGTCTGGCACAGAAGAACATAGGGTAGAGCAGGATCAACTTGTGCCAGAAAATTAAGAAGTGGTGGAAGACTAATAAGGCATTCAGAGGGATTCATTTGAAGAAGAGGAATTTATCAGAGAATAAGCCATCTGGCCAAACTTGGAAATATTAAAGCTTCAAAAAGTATGATGTTATAATGGATTTTAATACATTGAAAAAAATAACCCTATTATGACATTAGAAAGGAAAAGGAACTAAAAGGGATAGACTTCTATTGTCTA